AAGGACCAGTTTTTAAGTATTGGGACGGTTTAAAGCTCATAATATGGGCTGAAAAATAGACCTCTAATGTCCAGATACAATGCTTCCAAAAACGACTCGAAACGGATCGAAATAATTCTACGCGATTGAATAAAAGAAATACCGAACAATCTAACTAGAATTTAATAAAATTATACTAAGCACCTACGATATTAAACCAAGCATAAAGATGGAAATAAGAGAAAGCACATAAATAAAATAAAACAAGCAATGCACATAAAATAGAATAGAATAAAAGCAAGCATTGTACATAAGGATATACGACAATGCACTTATATCAACGAGGCAATCACATCACATAAAAATAAAAACAAGCACATAATAATAATCGAAGGCAAGCAACAATAAAATAGAATAAAATAAAAACAAACAATTATATAAATGCAAGCAAATAAATAAATAAACACAAAAAATCATATAAATCGAAAGGAACGCTACATATTAATATTTAAAAGTTATGGTTCTATCATTTCGAAAAAAATAAAAATTTAAAAGTCATGGTGAAAAAGATTACATGCAAATTTTGGTTGACAAACCTTCATTATATAAGTTAGTCTTGTTTATTCACTTAGTGCAGATCCCGTGCGATGCACGGGGTGCACAGTTTTAAGGTTATTTACTCATTTTATTATTGTATCGTGAATAAAAAATAAATAAATAGAATAAAAAATATTATTATATATTATTAAAAATCTCCTTGTAGACAATATTTTTTGCCTTGTTGGAATACCATCCTCTCGCAAACTAATATTTTCAAGCTCTTTCGATTAGTCACACGGGAAACAACTACATACAATTGGCTGTAACTGGACACCGACTTCTTCAAGAACATGTCAACATGTGGTAAAGACCGACTCTGACTCTTGTTAATCGTCATGACATAATAAACCATTTGGGGAAACTGTCTCTGTTTAAATTTTAAAGGTACTACAAAGTTGGAAGGTGTTTGTCATCCGAGGTATCAACACATTCTCTCCTGCATTAGATCAAGTCAATACCTTACATTCAAGTACACGAGTGGACAGCTTTATGACAACCAATCCCGTACCTTACATTCAAGCACATGAGCACTAAAGTTATTATAATAAATTTAAATTTATTAATGTTAATATTCGTATTAGTACTATTATTTATATAAGAACACGAATTGCAATGAAAATAAATGAAACTCACCTCCTCGTCATGAAATAGGATTTCCATATAGTTTTTATATTCAGTGCAACAATTATTCGAATTACCCGCAGCATCAAACATGGTTTATCGGTTCTTGAAACTTGCTTTGGCAAACTGAATTTGCACTTCATGTTGAAAGTATCGTAATTGTCTAAAAGTAGAATTAGAAAAGAATATTGAGCATGTAAGTTATACATGATTTGTCTATCAATTTATAGAGTTAGTAAAATGCTTAATTGAATTAAATTTTTAAAGTATTTTAATTTGAAAATATTGTAGAAATGCAACTTATGGTCTAGAAATTGCATCAATTTAATTAATTTGTAAATATTATTTATTTATTTTAAATTATAATGATTTGATATTTGATATTATAATTAATTTGAAAAAAAAAATATTTATATATGTTGCAATGTTCTTCATGTATAGTGCTAACACGTTTTCTTGAGTAGATATGGAAAAAAACCTATTTCTTTGTTAATAAAATTTCTGACTATTGAAAGATATATACACACGTTTCTTTATGCCTTTTTTTTGGAAAAAAAACCAATTTATTTGGAAATAATTTTTTTGTATATTGTAAAGTAATATCTCAGCACACTTTTTATTTGTAAATTGGTATCTATCACATATTTGGCAAAATATTTAGGTATAGTTTGGTTATTTTGAATATCTTGAGTTACATATAAAATATAAATTGGAATGTTATTGTGTTATGTATATGTATTAGTTTGATATCTATATATAATAAATATTGATTTCAGTAGATGAAATTTTTATTTAAAGTTCATTTTCTTATTTTCAGAACTTTCATACAAATTGTATTGATTACATTCTACACATTTTTTAAAGCAAAAGATCGAAGTAATCTTTAGAATTGATTATATAAGTATAGATATCGAATACTAATATCACTTTACACATAATTAAATAAATTTAATATTTTTTATGAACATTTATTAGTTACATTTTTATTTATGGTCATTTACATTTTTATTGTGAAAGAAATTATAATAAATAAAAAATTTAGAAAACAATATAAGATATATTTAATTCATAATTTTTTTAAATAAAAAATACTCAATATAGAATAAATAATTCGAATTACTTAAGTTAAATAGCTTAAAAGTTCTATAGTATTCTTGACAGATGTGTGAAATTACTTAAAATAACACCTAAATTGTTTTACGCTATTATTTATATAGGCACACCCTGAAATTTAATTTTTAGTAAATTTACAAATCAAATTTATAACTAAGCTATGTATTATTTATTATTTAAATTTAAATCATTATAATATTCACAAGATAGATGTTATCGGCATATATATTCATATTTGAATTTTTATATTCAGGAATTAAGTCATTAACATCAGTGGATTCATGAGATAAAATTTAAGTGACATGTTGTGAAGGAAAAATTATGGCATCCCATATTTTAAAATTTAAAATTTTAATTGACAAAGTGTGAAGAAGAAAAATGTCATCCCATATTTTTAGGGCTAAAATGAGTGGAGATTTTATCACTTTAAATCAGTTTTTATGAAGATTTTTATGCTTTTTTTTTGTTTTTTGCAGGCTCCATAATTCATAATTTTTTTCAACAAATATAATCAAAATGCCTGCCACATCAAGTTTAGAAAAAAAATAAATAAAATTTATTAATTGAAAGTTCATTCATATATATACAAAATTATTCATTAATTGTTTTAGCAAAGTAACATTTCTTTTAACACAAATGTCCAAATAACAATGTATATATATATATATATATGGTTGCGTTCCGGTGATAATGGTGTTTAATGAAAGAAATAAGAATAAATTGTAACCATGCAATCGGATGATCCAACGGGCAAAAAAAAGTCATATTTTTTACACTCATTAAGAGTAATTTAGACATTTCATAAATCATACACATAGGTGGACGTCACCCCACACATATTCTGCCACCAGCTATCACGTCGCTATCTCTCTCACTCTATCTCTCTCCTCTCTATCTCTCCTCTCTCTCTCTCTCTCTCTCATACACACACACAAAACGAAACTCACGGCCGGGAAAAAAACGGAAACTCACGGTCGGAAAAAACAAAATTACCGTCACTGCTGGAGCAACGCACAACTGTCACCTGCGATTCCCGCCGCTTCCCACAGACACCAACCATCCGCCGCCACCGTCGAGAACCGCCGACGAACGCTGTCGGCCCCCGGCCCCCCAGCGACCAACCCGCCATAGCAACTGGTTCATACGCTGCCGCTGGAAGCACCACGAACCTGGTCGCCGACATACCATTGCCACCGGAATCATCACGAAATTGGCCGCCTCCGCAATCGCCGTGTTCGATTTCCTAGTTCCGGCGAACAGCTTGTTTGAAGCTTCTTTCAAGCAGTGGTCATCTTCACCGAGTTCGTGGAGCTCCAAGTCGCAGCGGCTGGGCGATGAAGATGCCGACGATGATGACGTGGCGACGAGCGTCGGACAGAAACCTACTATTGCAGCCGGAGATGGTGTCGCCGTGTCGGAATCGGGGTCGGACGGGGCGAAGACGAGCTGCTACACAGTGGTCGACGACGAGACTGACTGAGCCGAGAGCCGCCAGGTAGGCGGCGGCGTGTGGCGGAGATCGGCGGTGATTAGCGTCTGTGACAGATTTTTCTTTTTTCTTTTCATTTTGTGGTTGGGCCAAGTTTTGAAAATTAGACATGTGTCAGGGACCAATATGCAATTTTTTAACTTTTAATATATGTGCAATTTTGGTATTTGGGGCTAATGTGTAATACAATGAAAATTAAAAGATATACAATAAGGGTGAGCAAGATGCACAATACAAAATTACATAATTCTATTTTTTTTTTATATATTTTATATGTATATTATGTATGTTCAACAAATAAAAATATATAATATTAAATAATTATTAAAATTACTAAATATATTTCTATTGTATGAATAATTATACAAATGCAAAATATTGATTAGAATACACATTATTAAAATTTTTTAAAATTGAAATACACATAATAAAAAATCCCCCTTAATATATTGCACAATAATGTTAGATTAATTGCACATTAGTGTATATAATAATGCACATTATCAATTTTTTTTACTTTATATATTTTGTCTTTTCAACACAAATACTAAAAAAAGAAAAATAAAAATAAGATAAAATATTAATAACATATTGCACATTATTGATTGACGGGTTGTACTTTTGTATTACTGAGATTGCACTTTAGCATAACAAATGCGCGACGATGTTAATTAGAATAAATATGTAAAATACTAAATACAAAAGTTATAAATAATAAATATACTTTTATTACATAAATAATTTAATAAATGCACAATAATTGTTAATACAAATTATTAAAAAAATTTAAAATCGAAATGCACGTTATTGTTAGGTTTTAATTTGGTTGGGATGAAATTCGGTCCTTACAGACTGCACATAGCGGTCGAAATCGTGCAAATTAATGACTGTTCGGTTACAATTTTGTGTCTGTGAAATTTCACTTTAGCGTATGTACTGAAAAAGAATATAAAATTTATATATATATATATATATGTATCTAGATTCCAGAAAATATAAATTATATTTTTTAAACCAGAAAATAATATAAAAATATATAGAAAATATTAAAATACTAACTATACTTTTATATTAATAAATAACAAAATATTTTAATTATTTAAGTTAATTCGATGTAAAATTATATCTATTAAAACTAGTTTCCAAATACACATAATTTACCTGGGATCGTATAAAATAGTGCACTTCATAAAATAACACATTGCACTTTATAAAAAAATTCGTTGCACTTTATAAAACAAAACGTACTGTATAAAACAACAATCTACATTTTGTCACCGCATTCCACAATTAACGTCAAATAGATCCCGCCAAAAAATTCTACTCAACGTCAATCTAATTTTAACATCCATGCATCGTCTATCCACAAAAAATATGATTATGCTAATGTACCAAAATTACAGTAGTACACTTTATATATCATCACGTTGCACTTTGTAAAACAACACGATGCACTTTATCACAATTATCGAATCGCACAAATAGTGAACGTAACCGACCAAACTCAATTTTTTTTTCAACCAAAAATAATAAATAAAATTATTAACTTATTAATTATAATTTGAATATAAATAGCAAATTATTTCTCCAACAATAACGATAAATTCCAAACAAACTAAGATTATCGGTTAAAAAAATTTGTATTTCAGTTCGATTATCCGTTTTACTTTTAAACTCACGTTATTTCAGTTCAATGTCGACTTTGTTTTTTCAAAATAAACAAAATAATCGAACCGACCGAACTATATAAAAAATATTAATATTTTTTTGTTTGTATTGTTTTTATGTATTGCCATTGCACATTAGAGTTACACGAATTGCACATTAATGACTATCAGATTGCACAATATCAACCGAATCATTGCACAAATAGTGTTAGACGAATTTCGTATTAGTGACTTCCGAACTGTACATTATCGACTAATTGACAGACTTAAAAAATTTTGGTTCAACTATTTATATGTCGATTCGATAATCTATTTTTTTAATTTTAAAGGTTCAATTATGTGGGTTCAATGTCAATTTTTTTTTTTTTTTTGTTCGTTTGTGTTCGAGAGTTCATTTCAGTTATCTTAATTTTGTTAATTCGGTCAGTCGGCCCGAGTGAACCTACCAATTAACGATTGTAATGGCGGGTACATTTTGATAAATTTGTGAACTTTTAAATGTGTAAACGATAACAATTATAACAATTATGTAATTACATAATAATATAATAATTTTTTAATATGCATATTCTAATGTAATATTGTGCATTTTACATAATGATATTGAACAAATATTGATCAATCTTACCAATTACATGTGAAACAACATATCAAATTTCAAAAATTGCAAATAGATCCCCCAAATTTTTCTAATTTCCAAAATATAACCACAAATCAAATCTAATCTAACAATCTAAGAGATTCACTGCGTCTCTTCCAGGTAGACCGGCTACTGCCATCCTTATCTCTCCCGGCCGTCACCCTCGCCGGCGCGGCCTCGAAACGGCGGCATTTTTCAGTGTTGCAGGCGGATCTGGTGGAGGCTACAAGCTGCGACATTGGTGGCGGGGTTGTTGGAAGCGGTAGTGGCGGGGTTGTTGACCGGCAGCCGACTGGTATGTGACGATGGTAGCGGGATGTGGCGGATGCCGGGATGATGTCGACGGCGACGTGATCGTTGATACTTGAGGTAGCGGTGCTCTGAAGATCGGGCGGCGGTGCTTTGATGGCCGACAGCGACGCTTCGAAGGTCGGGTGGCGACGCTATTATGGCCGGTGGAGATGCTTTAATAGCCGGCGGCGACACTGTTATGGCTAGGTGGCGGTGTTGTGAAGGCTGGGCGGCGGGGCTGTTATGGCGTGGTCGGACATGAGGGGATGGAGTTGCCAGAGATTGATTTCGGTGAAGTCGTTGTCGGAATCTGGACTGGTTGTTGGTGGTGACGGGACTGGCAGGGGCTCTTGCGGCGGCAGTTCGGTGGCGGGTGTCGGAGGTTGCCGGCGGCAATTAGGTGTTGGTAAATGTGTGCTGTATGTGAGATCTGATTTATCTGTGTGTGTGTGTGTGAAAATTGAATTTGTGTGTGTTGTGTGAAGTAGAGAGATGATGGGACCCACAAGGTAGGTGGTGGATGAGAATTGTGTGAGATGACATAAATGCCCTTATTGAGTGGTCAAATATTAATATTTGACTACAGTATGACTATTTATTTACTAAATTGCCATATTATGTTGACTGCCATATTTCAGATTTGACTCCATCAAAACCATTGATATGTTGGATCCAATGGTCCAAGACCATTCTTATTTCTTTCATTACGTACCATTCTCATATGATCCCATCCCTATATATATATATATATATATATATATATATATATATATATATATAGGGTCGCGCTCCGGTGAGAATGGTTCTCAATGAAAGAAATAAGAATAAATTTTAGCCATCGAATCGGGTTGATCCAACAACTGAAAAAATTCATCAATTTTAAACTCATTAAGGGCAATGTGGTATTTTTAACCCAACAAACTCGTAGGGCCCACCTCACCCTAATCAATTCAAAGCTACCCACTCATTCTCTCTCCCACACAACACACATACTGCACCCACACACGGGTCTCATGCTTCCTCTCCTGCGCACACACACATTACACACACGTATACATACACAGATACACACAAGAAGAAATTGAGAAACACACACACACACACACACACGTCGTTTTACCGCCATCGTCGGCCGCCACCAGCCACCGTGACCCACCGTCACCTTCCTCTCCGCGAATAGAGGCACGTCCGATGCCAGGAACAGCTGCTCCGTCAACCTCCACCGCCGCCTCATTCAGTCCTCCGGCCCCCGCCACGGTTACTCCTTACCTGATCTTCACCGCCGACCTCGAGAAGCTCCAGGTATTCTGCCACGGCAACGGCGGCACAGTCTTCAAGGCTCGATAGTGCTGCACCTCCTCCGCCTCATTCACTCCTCCAGCCGCCGCCACGATTCCAACTCCTTACCAGATCTCCGCCGACGACCTCAAGAGGCTCTAGATCCCTGTCCACGGAGGACGGCGACACAGTCTTCAAGGTTCAATAGTGCCGCTCCTCCGCCCTAAAATTCGTCCAAGCGGCGCCGACACCACCATCCGCCGCCAGTCTCCAATTTCGTCCTCTGCCACAGCAACTCCCTCAACGACTCCGTAAATAGAGACGAGTCCTCCTTGATAGAAGCATAGTACAGACCACCAGAGTATATGACGGCGAGAAGAAGCCGGCGGCAAGGACTTCAACCGACGGGGCTTGGGGATTTGGTGTTGAGGATTAGATAATTGTGAGGGATCTATTTGTAATTTTAAATAGTTTGATAATATTGCAGGTTAGTCCTTATATCAAATATATAATTTATAAAAACATAATTGGACCTATTTGTAATTTTAAAATTTTTGATTGAATTTTAATTTAAACCTTGGGCTAAATATACAATTTTTAAAAATTTATAAAGATATGCTATTGCTATACGTTTTTTTACTAAAATAATAAATAAAAATAGTAAATAAAAAATGATATAAAATATTGAGTTAATATAAAAATAATAATAATGAATTATTAAATAATTTTCTTATAATAAAATTAATACATTATTCCAATTTAATAGGTTAATTCGATTAAACAATAGAATAAAATAATTATTTCCGTTTAGTTTTAGTTTATATTTGCACTAAAAAAATGAAAAAAAAAATCCCACATTGCATAAAGCACATTATTATTAAACAAGTTGCACCTTAGTGACTATCGGACTGCACAATAATGTTATATTTAATGCACATTAACACTATTGAGAATGCACATAAAGAGAAATATCACAAATGTTAGATTTCATAATAACGATATAGGAAACGCACAATAATGTTTGAATGGATGCACATTATTGCTTTCGTTATTTTATTATAATTATTTCAACTAAAATGTAATATAAAATTATTAATTATAGATATTAAAGTACTAAATATATTTTTTATAGTATAAATAATAAATCATTTCGAATACATAGAATAAATCGGTTAACCAACCTAATATACGATTGTTTTGAATTCAATTTTAATTTGTTTTTGAACAATTCATTAAAAATTTATATATTGTGAGGGCAAGATAGTGTTATATGTATAGCACGTTAACCCTTATCAAATTGCACAATAGTGGTTGAGACCAACCGAACTAAATTTTTCGGATAAAAAATTTATATTATATTCAGTTATCTATTTGTATTTTTAGGATGTCGGATATCGTTGTGGCATTTTGGTTAAAATGTGAAGTTTTAAATGTGTAAGTAGACAAAATTCATTAATGTCTTAAAAATATGTATATACATATATATTACGCGTATTTTTATTGTGCACGTTCTCGGTCAATATTGTGCATCTTATGAAACATTAATGTGCGTATAAATTATTGTGCAACTCAATAAAATTCATCAAAATACCATAGGTCCCCTAAACATATATACCATTCATAAAACAAAACAAATTTTCTGATGTTGCAAATATGACCCTAAGAATTATCAAATTTTCAATCAAAAGCCCCACAAAATGTAAATGCAAATCCCTTCCCCCAACCATATCCATCTCCACCGCCGTTTCACAGGCTCTTGCACAATACCTGCCCATGGCCCTAATTGAACACATCAAACATGAAAATGACAAAATCAATTCAACAACACCCAAAACGTAGCAGTGTCGCCGCCAGTTGCCGCCCCGTTGCCTCGTCCGTCAGTCGCCTCGTCTCCGTCGCCGTCGCGTCACCTCCATCCGCATCGCATCGTCTCCGTCAGCCGTCCCGTTGCTTCGCCTCCGTCGGCCGAATCGCCTCCATCTGCCGCATCGTTGCATAGCATCTACCAGTCGCGTCGCCTTCGTCTGCCATCTCTTCTGTCATCCGCCGCATCGCCTTCCCGTCGTCCACCGCCGCTACGTCGCCTCGCCTCCGACAGTCGCCGCGTCGTATCGCCTTCAACAGCGGCCACGTCGCATCGCATCAGACTGCCACTGCGTCGCAACAACTCCATCCGCCGCCCTGACGTCTCGCCTTAATCCGCCGTCTCATCGGAACTGTGAAACGGAATACACTTGCGGCGGGTGGGTGAGAAAGAAAGTGACGGGTGGGTGTATGGATTAGGGTTAATGTGTGAGGTGAGTGGGTCCCACTTAATATATGTATATTTACCAACTTACCCTTAATTATGGGGCAAATATACATATTTGACCATGATATGATCACATAATTACTAGATTGTCATTAATTATTGACCATAGTTTGACTTCATCATGTCCATTATTATTATTGATCCAATGGTACAGATTCATTCTTATTTCTTTCACTATCTCTCATTCTCATTTGAGCGCACTTCCTATATATATATATATATATATATATATATATATAGGGATGCGCTCCGGTGAGAATGGTTCTCAATGAAAGAAATAAGAATACATATTGATCATTCGATTGACTGATCGGACGTATAAAAAAACTCAACATTCATAAATTCAATATGGACAGTAAAGTAATTTTAGCACGCAATCCAATCTTCCAAACCACCCACACGTGGGTCCCACTCCACTTAACAAGTCTATCTCAATCTATCAATCACACGTATCTCTCATCTCACCTCACCAGTCTCTCTCTCCTCACCTCTCTCCCTCTCACACAATTCTCCCTCTCACACAATGACACAAACACACACACACACACACACACACCTCCGCACACATTTACACGCACAGACGTGTTTCATCCGCATCCATCGTCGGTCCGACCGCCCGGCACCGTCAGAATCGACATCGTCGCCGTCACCTTCCTCCGCTGCCGCCAAACTGTTTCTTCCCCGGCTACCAGCGCGTTCCCTTCAGCCGCGCCGGAGATTGACGCCGATGTACCACGGCTCAACAAGAGAACGACTGTTGTTCACGAACTCAGCCCCGACGAATTCAGCAACGGAATAAATTGGTCGAGGCGAAATTAATTGGCCGTTGTGCTCGGTCCTTTTGTGCCTAATTCCGTCCACGTTCGGACAGTTGAAGGCGAGATTGGAGCTCGACCGTCCCCAACAATTCCGTCCAAATACATCGACTGCCGGCGAGACGGCGGCGGCCGGCGAGGATATGATAACGCAGAGAGCAGCGGTCGGTGAAGCTCCGGCACAGGACATCAACCGACGGGAAATTTAGGGGGCATGCTTGTGAAAATTGGATAATGTTTAGGGTCACAATTGCAAATTCAAAAAATTTAATTACATTACAATTTAACCCATGAGCCAAATATGCAATTTATAAAAAGTTATAAAAAAAATATTATTTTTTATATTGTTTTATATACACCTACATATAATATATATTTCCAACCAAAAATGACATAAAATATTAGTACAAGTATTAAAATAATAAAATATAATTTTATAATATAAATAATAATTATTTCAATTATTTAGTTAATTAAGTTAACTAATCGAATTGATTATCTTGTTCGATTTTAGTTTAGATTTGCATATAAAAAAATACGCGTAAAAAAATACCAGCAATACAGAATGCATAATAGTGATAAGCAAGATGCATATTAGTCACTGTGCGAATGCACAATAGTGATATACCAAACACACATTGAATTCTACAACAATGAAAACAAGCAGTGTATGCTAGTGTGATTTTTTCACATAATATTAAAATTTTGGTCCTTTTTTTTTTAAACAAAGAAATTGGAATATCATAATTGATCGAACTATATAAAAAATATAATTTTTATATTTTTAAATACATATATTATTTATTTTTGACATACGATAATATAAGTTATTAAATAAAAATCAACATTAATAAGTATATTTTTACTATATAAACAATTCGACATTTAGAAAAATAATGTTAATTGAAAGCACATTATTGACTTTCCTAAATTTTAAATGCACATAAAAGTACTTCCGATCAATAGACTGCACAATAATGTTACAGGAAATGCACATTAATATCTGCGGGGATGCACTTTATTTATTTCAAAATTTTATTATTATGTCGTTTCAACTAAAAATAATATATAAAAAATACTAAATATATCTTTTGTATTATAACAAAATCAATCGCTTCTACTATTTATAGTATTTTGGTTATCCGATCCAATAAATCTATTATTTCAGTTCTTAAGGGGGTGATTGGATATGAATTCAACTAGTTAAAAACTAGTCTTTTTTATCTATAGTTATGTTTAAAAAAAAGTAGTATGGTTAGTTGTTAGTAAATATAAAATAATATTTAAATTAAAATAATTAAAGTTGTTTGATGTAAAAGTAGGAGAAAATGATTGGAAGTGATGGTTAGTTAAAATTATGTGAGTGGGTGAACAGTGAATTAAAGTTGATGTGATGTGTAATAATGATTGGTTGATATTATTTAATTATATTGATAATATTGGAGATAGTGGAATTGAGTTAAAGTTGAGTTAAATTTGAATTTTGAGTGAGATATTTACTGTACAAATTATATACAATCACGTCCTAATTAATCTGGAGTGGGAAAAATTATTAAAAAAATATATTTATTGTGAGTGCACAATAGTGTCAGACTAATTGAATATTAATAACTATTAGATTGCATGATAGCGACCGAAGCCAAACGAACTAAATTTTTCAATTGAATTTTTATATTTTCGAATTCGACTATTTGTTTTTACGTTTAAAATGTCGGTTACTTTGGTTTGCTATCGGCTTTTTTTTTGTTTAAATTATACACTTTTAAAAATTTGGTTTGATATCATTTTTTTTCTCTCTCTTTTTTTGTTTTGTTTAAATTATGCAATTTTAAATTTATAAACGACGAAATATAATTTCGTAAAAAAAATTAAGTGATTTTTTATTGTGCATATTCTCGGGCAATATTGTGCATTTTATTCAGTATTATTTATTCAGTATTATTATGCATTTATTTAGCTTTCATTACATTACATATTAGCCCTAAGTATTAAATTGCAAGTATATTAAAAATTGGAAATTGCATATGAGTCCTTTGAACATGTCTAATTTCCAAAGCATGACCCAACACAAAATCTGTACAAATCCGTCCCCACACACAATTTCTGTACAAATCTGTACAAATCCGCCCCCAGGCTTTGATCAATTTTCGATCGCCGCCGCACGCCGCCGCCTTGACGGCGGCTCTCGACTCCATCACTATTGCCGTCAACCACTGTGAATCTGCTCATCTTCACAGCGTCCGACCCCGATTCCGGCGACACCATCTTCGGCTGCAATTGTAGGTCTCGTCGCCGATCAAAGCCTGCTCATCGTCACCACATCATCATCGTTCACAGCTTCACGCCCCGCTCTGCGACCATGGAGCTCCCAGAACACGGCGAAGAGACCACCGCTGGACAAAGGCTTCGAACAACCTATCCGCCGGAAAAATCGAAAATTGATCACGGCGATGTCGCGGTGGCAGAGGCGGCAAATCTCGTGGTGATTCTGGCGGCAACAGGACAGTCGGCGGCCAGATTCATGGAGATTCCGCGCGTGGCTCAATGTTGGATGCAGGGACCGTCGGAGATGATGGCAGCGGAGGCGACGGGAGTGTTGGCGGCGGCGGCGACGGGAGTGTTGGCGTGGTCTGTTATTGCCCGGCGCCGGTGGGCTCAGTTCGTGTGTGTGTATTCCGATTGTGTGTGTGTGTGTTTTGCTGGAAAATTAGTGCGTGATGTGTGTGAGAGAGGGGGATGTGTAGGTGATGGTGTGTGTGAGAGAGGAGAGATGGGGTAGGTGATGATTAATTAGGTTGTTGGAGGATGTTGGATGTGGGTCCCACTAAGTTGGCATTATTTATTATTATTTTACCTTTTATTGGTATTATTATATAAAGAGGTAACCCAAAAATTCTTAAAAGAATAACTAAAAAATAATTCAGATTCCTGCCTAAAAATTTATTAAATATAGCAATGTTTTTGAAAATTTTAGGAATATCCCGCCTAAATGTGTTTTGAAATTTTTTAGAAAAATTTAATTCAAACATCTATACTTATATAAAAAGTCATCTCATTTACTAGAATTAGTAGGAAGAAAAATCAACTCATAATTAATTGCACACCATATTTAGAAAGTTTTAGATATTTTAAATCATAAAATAGGGTAGCTTTAAATACTCCTAAAATTATGAGTTTTATTGAATTCATTTTTAAAATATTTCGACAGATATTGAAGTGAATATGAAATTCAAAATCTCTTCTCATTTTAGTTTTAATAAAATCTGCATCCAAATTTACTTGTGGTTTTGAAGTGAAAATTTGAAATTCAAAATCTCTTGTCATTTTAGTTACAAGAAAATTGGGCTGCATTCAACACTTGGACCAATTTAAAAATTATTCCTTAAATGAAGGAATTTATAGATAATTGTTATCTCTACTCAATCACATGATTATTTTCAATATAAAAAGAGACAGATTACAAATTATTGAATCATATATTACCTAATTCAATATTATAAATCCATAGTATTATGTAAATCCGTATCTCATATTATTATATCATTAAGAATATATTATAGTTATATTATCAATCATAAAAAGATATTAAATCCATATTGTAAAAAAAAATTCATATAATTTTATAACAATTTTATTACACCATTTAACAGTATTCTTTTTTATTATATAATTAAATAATAATTAAATAACAATTCTTTTTTAGTGAGATAATATATTAATTATTTTACAAGCTATCCCTAATTAACATGCTCATATTTAATGTTATGTTTAAAAAAATAACGCTGGTTAAAAGATGTAAAAAAAACTTATAATAACTTTATTGTTTTTTAGACTTAACGTTGATTAAAAGTGGTAGAAAATAGATAATAACCCTATTATTTTTTAGACTTAAACGAACAAGTGTGTGAAAATAACTCATTTAATATCACTGTCTCGTGCATCGCACGGGGTACGTACTAGTTGATTGGATGGATCTAATGGTTCAAGATCATTATTATTTCTTTCATTGTATTTCATTCTTTTTTTGGCAGAAGCAATAGATTGAATTGTATCCCTAAATTAAATATTAAAAATTTTAAATCAATTATAAAAGTCATTTCTACCAAAAAGGAGATAATTTTCCATGCCAACAAAAACGCGTATGAACATTCCCTTTCCTCTGCCNTTATCAACTACAAAAATCTAATTAGAGAAGCAAGAAAATGCTGAAGATACAAGTTAGTCACATAATGCATTCATATATATCGAAAAATCAACGCCAACCCATCATTATAATTTTCCAGTAACTGCAACATATTTTCCCAGAAAAGATTAATTGAGATTGGGATAGAAAATCAAATTACGCATCAGTTGATGTCTTCATCATCGAAATCATCCTGGAAGAAATTGAAAAATTCGGCATCGGCAAGGCGGTGGAGGTCCAAGACGGGGCCCTCTCTGAACATATCCAAGGAAGAGTCGGCGTCGTCCACCTCCATTGCCATTGTGACGTTGTCGCTTTGCTCCCTTGCCTCCTCGAAGTAGTCCATAGCAACTGTCTTCATTATCTTCGTCTGCCTCTATTTTTTCATCCAAAATCTAGGTCATGAGCCGCCTGTTGTCTCTAAGGCGCCGGTTGTCCAGATCGTTCGTAGACCCTTGAACCGAGTGGCCGCTGCCGCCACAGATCTGAGACGTTGCCAAATCTGAACAGAAAGTCGTCATACCAGAAAGTTGCGTTCACCGGTCGTCGAGCCGCTCTCATGTCCTCGCCGATTGCCGCCGCTCATGAGCCAAACCTATCGGCTATCTCCGCCTTCAAATGCAATCACACCGCAATACCGATGTTGTCGTTGGGATGCACCATAGAGGGGTGAACCTTGGTATATATGAATCTTTCATTCATCTTTTCTGAAAAAGGAGAAACTTTCGTCTGCTGAGGAAAAGAGATGAACTTTTGGGCGTGTTTTGAAACATTTGTGCTTATCTAGTTGTGGTGAATAGTGGTAGGATGGACGTTGGTTGCATCAATCGTTTCTATCGCTGTGTAAATTTGTGGAGATGTCGTTTATTTTTTTTTCCATATATATATATATATATATAAAGAGGTCGTTGGAAAAATACATTAATAGAAAGTTTGACCAAATAAATATAATGTTTGACTTACTATTAATAGAAAGTTAAAAAAAACACATGTGAATCTTTAGTAACAAAATCTAAATCCTATTTTTTTGGTAACAAATTTGGAGATTCTTATGGCAAAATTTGAATCCCATATTTTTCGTATCATATTTTATTTTTTTACCAAAATTTAAATCATATCTTTTTTGGTAACAAATTTGGAGATTCTTATGCAAAAAATGTATCAATTATTTATGAAAACAATTCTAAATACAAATTAATTTAAAAACCGTGCAAATTGAATACAAATTTAGGAACCAAATAGTTGTATAATTCTTAACTAATTCTTCCAATCTTATTGAATAATTTTTTCTTTCAAAAAAATTGTGTAAATTGGATAAAGCCACGTGCAATTTTTACTTTAAAATAAAACTGATATTTGGACGGGATGTACATTCAAAATTGTGTCTACATTTTCTGGTAACAAAAGCGGTTCATCATTAATATTTAAAGTCACCTTATCTAATTATTTAGGAAAAATTATGTGCAACTTTTCAAAATTTAAATGTATCGGTTTTTTTGGATTCTTATGTTTTTTCTTAACCATGTTTTACGGAGATTTTGGTAAGTTCATATCTTTTGTTTTTTTTTTGTTAAGTTCATATCATTTTCTTTAGGAAAGAGACAACTGCATAAACATTAACAATTTTTTTCAATTTTTTATTAGAATTATTTTCAATTCAATTTGTTTGATACAAAAATTGGTGCGATGTTAGTAAAATTGGTTGCATTTTTAGAAAAAATTGATGATTTTTTTTGTTTGGTTTAAAAAAAAGATCGGATCAATTTGTTTGATAAAAAAATTAGTTTATTGGTAGGAAAATCGGTTTCACTTCCGGGACTAACTAATGATTCTGTTCAATTTTTCTTAATTGAAATTTAGAATTAGATTCAAAATAAATAATGGGTGAAGATTCCTAAAAAAATTTACTTTTTTTTCTACTTTAATTTTGTTCAATAAATAAGATCCTTTAATTTTTTTAAAATTTGTTAACTAATAACTAATAATATGCAATTTTGGATAAATTCGAACACCTATGTAGTACTTTACGTGCCAAAGAATCAAATCAATAATGTTGCACATAAGGAAGTGTTTAATAACATATAAATTTTATTTTCATGAAATTTTTAATTGCATGAGATAATTTAAATACAAAAATATCTTTTAATATATATATATATATATAATAAATGTTCCCGTGCATCGCACGAGCACCGTACTAGTACAGGAGAATATAATGGTATAGGTAGTTTTTCGATCTCGGAAGATCGATGTGATTATATTAATGAAGATATGTGGTTTTTGTGTATGGTATGTGAATCATTCATATATTTTGTACAGATTTTATTGACTGTTTTAATTCGAAATTCAAATAATGACCGCCAATTCTAAAAAAATTTCAAAAAAGATTACTAAAAAATGTAAAAATGAAATATTTAAGAGGGATTTATACTTCTATTTCAGGTAAATGACAAACCTTTTTATATTTATAAAGATTTTGTTTTGGGAAGATTGAAAAATGTTCACAATAAAATTAAATTGAATTTTTTTACAAGAATAATTGCATATGATAGTTTACATTTTTGTCTTCTTTATCTTGTTGAATAAGACCATTCTTTGTTATTATTTTTATTGGCTAATTAAAACAGTTATAATTCAATTGATATATGTTAGTAGAGTTTTTAAATATTATGCATATTACCTTCTTTTTTTCAGTGACATAGTTTTCTTATGCATTTTTTCACTTGATATAATTCATTATAGTTATTTTCATGAGTTATAAATATATATTAAAATTCAAGTTTTACTCGAATTTTAGTTTTTATTTCCATTCAAATATTGTTTTATTTTTCATGAATCATTACAAACATATGGTACACAATCTCATTTGGATTTCAATAATCTTAAAAAATAATTTAAAAACATTACAATTATTTTGTGATAAATTATATTTTAGTTTTCACTTAAGAAACAAATTTATTAAATTTCAAGTTTCATATCATGTATAATGAGCGATAGTTATGGTCTTCAGGTCACATTTATTCTATATTATTGATCTATTATTTAATATTACTTTCTTATAATTAATTTAATTATAAAACAACATCATAATTATTGCATTAATTATTTTTAGTAAATAGATAAGTAGAACATTTTAAATTAAAAAATATTTTTATCAAGTTTTTGAAGTTTTATAAATTATATATATTCTTTGACTNGAACAGAAATAACTACTTTTGAAGAATAAAAATATGTCAAACACAAAAAAATCTTTAATAACATGGATTTAAACTGAAACAATGATTCTCTTTTCCTAAACGAGAAATGAACAAACTTTTAACTATGCAATAAGTATCATATAATATAATGTTATTTTCTATTCATTTTATCAAGCATGCGAAAGAAAATGCTAATAGTCAATCCAGATCATCGTTCAGAATACTTGACTAAAAACTAAAATGGTAGTTACAGACTTACAATCTCCATTCATAACACAATGTCGTTTTAGGATAGATTTTTAGTTTGAATTACTTATTATGTCATACTATTTTCAAACTATATACATATAAATTCTCTTAAAGTATGGGTAATTACGTTTACCTATTTTTAATATAATTTATCAAAGAATTTTAATTTTTACTTATTATAACTTCTTATTGTTAATTTGAAATTTACATTCATGGCATTAAATATATCGTTTGTGAATATATTTTTTTAATTCAAAATGTTAAAGAAAATTACATATATATGAATTAAAGTCCATGTTTTTCAAAGGGATCAACATATGATTATCGAAATTATTTGTCACCTACATTGTTTACATCTTGCACAATCATCAAAAGATGTCACAAAAAATTCTGAATGAATCTTTACACTTTCATGTATATTAGTTGCATACCCTATGTATATAGATAATAACTGATACAATATATTAACTATATTTAAAATCACGTCATATGGGTTTGAAAGAATTATACTAATACATATATATATATATATATATATATATGTGTGTGTGTGTGTGTGTGTGGGTGTGTGTATAAATATTTCAATCAATAATATATAATAAAAGGATCACGTATTTTAAAATCAAAATATTGATACCATATATCCTTACAAATTTAAAAAATAATAAACTAATTATTAATTTGTCATAATTCATTATTGAAAAACTTAAATCTATCAAAATATATATCCTTAAATTTTTCTTAAATAATGAAATAGTTAATGAATTATTCTACTTTTCAAGTTTGTTAGATTATGTATATATTTCACAAGTTAATGATTTTTGTAAAAATTTTAGATATCTTCTCTTTAAAATTATTTATTATATACAAGTTACCCTACAACTAAATTGTTTTTTTTTTTTTATTTATTTACCAGGATAAAAATTTTAGATAGGTAAATAAATAGTTGAAAAATATTTGGATTCTCTATAAATATGTATAATGCTGTTTTATTGGATCAGTTTCTTTAAACAACTTTTATATATCATAATTATTAAATATGATTACTATTGTATCATTAAAATAATATTAAAGATAAAGATATAGTACAAAAAAATAATTCTATATTCCTTTTTAAGCTTTGTTGTTTGAGTTAATGTTGAGTTAATTTTTGAGAGATATAGAAGAAAGCAGTTTCGTAGATGTGGAAAAAAAAAATCGTGAGCAATTAATAATGCGAGAATATTGTTGTTGATTTTTAGGAGTGGAATGTTTTGTTCGTATATTTGTATTTAACTAATTAAATATTAGTTATTAATTAAAAATATAAAATATGATGGGTATAATTTTATTACTAATTTGCAAGAAATTATGACGTGGCATCTAAGTGTAAGCTGATGTGGATGCCATGTCATTTTTCCGATCAGTCATGTCAGCAGAATTGGCCGGAATATGTTTTCGAGACAAACTTGCAATACTTACTAAAGGTTGGGTATTTTCTTGCCAAGTTAAAAAAGATGAGTTTTATTTGCATTTAAACAAAAGCTTGAGGTTTTTAATGCAATTAACCCTTAAAAATATGTCAAGGTAAGAATTTTTTAGGTAGAATATTAGTTATTAATTAAAGATATATGATATGATAAATATTAATGTATTACTAATTTTTCATTAAAATTATGTCAAAGTAAGAGTTTTTTAGGTAATTCATTTTTTTACAAAATCATTCTTCCATTTTTTTGTTTCTCTACCGGTTAATTAGGCAATGTTGGTACTCCCTTAACAAAATTTTATAATGTTCATGAGTGCGACGATGTTTATATATGATTTATTTTATATTATACATCCAAACTTTAATGATTAATATTTTTTATTTTTCAATTTATGTATTATATAAACAATAAATAAATAGGGTATAACCTTTCTATAATGTTTTGTAACAGATGTTCTAAGTGAACAATTTATATATAAAAAAATAGACATAAACTACCCTTCGATTAAACTTTTATATTTGTACAACAATCTTGCTCTTTTAGATAAAATTTTAAAAAATTTATCTACTGTTTCTTTTCCATCTACAAACGAGATAAAAATCCCAACAAACAATTGCTCTAAAATATAATAGTGTTTTAAATGCAATTTTGTCTCCCAAAGTTGGGTATATTTTATTTAGAATTATCAAAGGGTACCCTGCAAGGCATTAAACTGAGCAAAAACAGTCATGTGCTTACCTATCTTTTCTTTGCAGATGATACAATGTTGTTTGCCAAAGCAGAACCAAAGCAAGCCTATATCCTCACCCAAATCCTCTCAAACTACCAATCAATCACTGGTCAGAAAGTCAACCTCTCAAAATCCTCAGTTTTCTTTAGTAAAAACACTCCTCAGAACACTCAAAATCAAATCTGTCACATCATGCTGGGAATTAAACCTCAAGCATCTGCCAAATACTTTGGTCTTCCCCTTGGTATAGGCAGATTAAAAATTGCCACATTTGCCTATGTGGAAAAAGCATTCAGGAAAAGAACTGCTAACTGGGCAAATAATTATCTCAATTGTGCAGGTAAAGAAGTACTAATCAAGGATGTTCTCAGTGCTATACCCACTTACTCCATGTTTTGCTTTCTATTGCCTAAGACAGTGACCAACAAGCTCTCATCCCATGTGGCAAATTTCTGGTGGAAAAATAACAAGGGAGACTCAAAAGGTATACATTGGAAGAGGTGGTCACATCTGTCACTTCCTAAGGACTTTGGTGGCATTGGCTTCAAAGATCTCCATATCTTTAACAAAGCTCTTATATCAAAACAATTATGGAGAATTGTGTCCCAGCCCCAGCTTCTTGTCAGCAGGGTCTTAAAAGGAATTTATTTTCCCCATGACAGTATTCATTCAACTAAGAAGAAAGGCTACTGTTCCTGGATTTGGTCAAGTTGGTGGAAAGTCAGGGATTTTTTTCCTGAAAAGTCTCAGGTACAAGGTTAGAAATGGCAACTCAGTCAATATTTGGGAGCATCAATGGGTGCCAACTCTGCCAGATCTCAGACCAAAAGGGTTGCATCCAAGGAACCCAGACCTCAAATTGGTGAGTGACTTGATTGATGACAAAGGTAGGAGATGGAACTTGCAGCTATTGGATTCTTATTTTACAAATTCAGAAAAGGCTGCTATTCTGGAAATTAAAGGGCTGGATCCACACACTTGAGATTCCCTTATATAAAAAGGAACCTTTGTGGAAAATTCTCTGTTTCATCAACCGACTCCAAGCTTATTGGTGATCACTTGAGGTAGTTGGATATTGCAGAACCGAGTTCCTCACAAATAGAGTTGAAGCAGGCCAGGAAGAGAGCATGGACAATGAAAATCAAGAGAAAGTTGAGACATTTCCTCTGGAAATGCATCAACAACACTCTTCATATAACGCCTCGCTTTGATTTGAAAGAAATTCCGGACTTTCCAAAAATCAATAAAACATTTTCGAAGTCATTTTCGAAATCATGGGCATTATTCACAACAATTACATAGTCCAAGTCTTATTTGGACTCACGGGGATTCATAAATCCGGTTTTCACAAGGTTTTCATTAACCCATTTCACAACATCTCACAAGATATTCAGCTTAATCATAACAGCATGAATAATCAAAATAAACATGATATTCAATACAACACGCATCGTGAATATCCAAATCATCATAGGTTCACCGAAAATATCCCGAATTCAACAATTCCAAACATAGGGTTGAAAAACCGTTTCAACATGTCTCGTAAAACTCAAACATAGGTTCATAAAATGCGGAAGCAAAAGAAATAAATCAATGACCACCCACTCGTCTTTGCCTTGTCATCCGTCACCTGCTTAACCTGCATCCGTGAAGAGACAAGTGGGTGTGAGCACATATGGAACCCGCAGTGCTCACCACTATGCATATGAACAATATGTAATATGTTAAGATGGTGTGGTCGCAGCATGAACATAAACAATAACAACATGTCCCATCTCCTACACAATATCACATCCAGGGCCGTCTCCAGAAATTTGGAGGCCCTAGACAAGTTTTCCTTTTTGAATTTTTCGATTTGAACTTGCGTGGCAATTAGGCTATTTGCAGATAGAATCATAGAAGAAAAAACCTAATTAACAAAGACTATTAAATAAATAAATAAATATTTAAAAAAAATCTTATTTTTCTAGATTTTGGATTTGATAAATTACCTATGGGTTATAAAGATCTTTATAATTTACATTCAAGCAGTCATTAGAACAACAAGGAGAAGAAAATAAAAACCATATCACTGTAAAGCATATTTATTATCACTCAATTGTTCTAACCGAACAACATAAGAAAACGAATGAAATACTTAGAGCCTCAAATTTCCACACAAAGTATATATTTTGTCATTAACTCATTCATTAATTAGCCCCTTTATTTGTATAATGGGCCAAACTCATCACAAATACATAACATTTTAAAATAAAAAAATGGGGCCCCAAATATATGGGGAGGCCCTAGGCATGGGCCTAGGCTGCCTCCCCAAGGAGCCGACCCTGATCACATCAATTCACATTACTCACGTGCACATCTATCGCCAGCCGCAGAACGGGGATTCATTACCCGAAGGCAGGAGTACATGTCACGCTACAGACACGGCCTTCCATATGGGCTTAGTACCTCATAAGGGTACGACAATATTAGGACTTAAGGAGATTGCCACACAAGGGCACCGTACCGTAACTCGACGGGGACAACCGTACCGACGGTCGTAACAGCTCACATCGATAGGCTACGTGCTCATATGCATACATAGATCATACCAATTCAACACATTTAAACACATATGGCATAGACATTTTAGAATAACAAACCCACCTAGTTTGAAGCAAAAGATTTGCACGATAATCACGTGTAGGTAGAGAGCTCGGCTCGTCAAACACCCTACAATAATTATGAGGATCCTATCAACAACTATCCGACCCAAGGAAAACACATACAATAACATTCTCTTAGCCGAAACCGTATCGACAAAGTGATTCGTGGAAATTCCTAATTGGAGTTTTGAACATTGGTTAAATCGTCTAGACCCGAAAAACAAATTACAAGTCATATATAACACATATAGCATGCTTGACATGTAAAATAAACTAACGGGTCAAAAGGACAGTCAAACGGGTCGGGAAATAGCCCAATCGGGGTGCTGCAGGGGCTGCCCGAGGCGCTGACACGGGCTGGGCGCGGACCGGCACTGGATAGCAACCCGGTTTGAGATAACTTCCGAATGTTTTCAAAATCTACTTGACCAAACTCAATGAAAGTTTTACCACATATTATAGACCCAGAAATACACATGTACACCAAAACTCAGCCTCAAGAAATCATTTTAACCTGGGAAGAAAATTTTTGTAAAATTTCAGCCAAACAGTAAAAATTCAAGTTCCCCAGGTAAACCTTCGATTTTATAAATGAAATTTTAACACAAATAGTACAACACCGAGAATAACAACATATCCAATATTCATCACATTTGGAGAAAAATTCGAATTTGTATGATTTTATTAAGATTCTGCCAAGAACATAAATTCAACAAATCACATAGCTACAGCTTGAGATTATATTTGAAATTTTCACACAAGGTACATCATCAATATAGGTCCAACATATCAAACATTCACCACATTAGGACAAGAAATTGATTTATTACGATTTTTTAAAGATTCAGCAGCAGGCTCGGTTTTAAAAATCCATATCTCATAGAATATACATTAAAATGACCCAAGGTCTTCAGCATCAGACCAAGGACATTCCAAAGGTCCTAACACTCTAGGGTTTCCACGAACTTCATAGATGTCCTTTGGTTTCGACATTAAACTGAAAAGACGATCACAATTCGACATTACAACATAACCAATTAATCCCTAAAGCACATTATATCAACCAAACAGCACCATATACACACATACATATCAAAAATAGGTTCAGAGTAAGCCACCCATTACCGTACTCCAAAGGGGAGACGTGAAGACGGTGTACGGGGCTGGACACGAGCACGTTGGCGCGCGCGGGGGATGCTCGGCGGCTAACGATGGTCGAGGGGATGCGAGGGACGGTGTTCGGTTTTAAAAAGAGAGAGAAAGGATTGCGGCTAGTGGAAGAGGAGGGTTTACGTGAGGAAAATAGAGAGGAGAAGAGAGGGAACTCATATATATAGACCTAGGGTACATGTCTTGCCAATCAAGCCAAAAGACAGGCGGGCCAAGCGCGGGTTCGGTTCTGAACTAAAGGTCCGGTTTTCACTCATTTAAAAGGTTCGAAGGCCACCTTATAAGGTCTGGAACGAGTCGGTTCGAGGTTTGGTTCGCGATGGTTCGAAAATAAAATAGAACGGACAACAATTCGGTTTACGCGATTAAACCGAAAATTCGAACGGTGAACGATAAAATAAAATCCAATGACTTTTAAAACTATATTATCCACATAATAATAAAATTTTAAGCACATAATCAAGGAATATAAATAATAAAATAAAAATTCCATTTATTAAAATAATTAAAAAAAATCCAATATCCGAACGCGGCATTACATTCTACCCTCCTTAAAGAAAATTCCGTCCTCGGAATTGCAAAATCAAACTATGACATGATACAATCGAGAATAAAAGGGAAAGCATCAAAACATGAAATTTGGGTACTTCCTCCGAATGTCGGTCTCCCTCTCCCAAGTCGTCTCGCCCTCGTCATGACAACCCCCACCTTGGACTTTGACGAGTACCCCTCCAGGCCTTTCCCTGATGGACCCTCCATTCTAACAGGTCACCGATACCTCCATACAGGTAGGGTTCTGCCTATCACGCAGCTTGTCAAGGTTAACATGTATCCCGATATCACGCACATGTTCCCTCCATCACGAGGTATATAACGTGTCATGCATCCTCGCAAGCTCTGGTGGTGGAGTCATCCATCAGGCTAAGTCATCGACTCGGTCAGGACTAAATAATATTGGCTGTAGCCTCCTCCCTTTACAGAATTAAGGCATACTACACCCATATCCGTACCAACAACCTCGTATGGTACCATTAAGGTTGTCGCTCGATAACCATCGTTACAGCGTACCTCCCCATGGTAAGGAATTTCTCACACCTTACTCATCTATCAATACACAAGACCCTAATCGGTCCTTTCGTGTCACAATAGCATACTCCGATAGTCTAACCCTATATGGTTGATTCGTAGCATCGAGCGTCAGTCTCGTGCTCGAGTCATGCTTGGAAACTCGATTACTACATCGACATGATCCGTGCGTCCTTATAAAACAGGCCGCCACGGATGTTTTTCCAATTTTTGTTATCTTTTTGCTTGTTGGTTTATAGGTTTTAGCCCCCGATTTAGGTTTTTCAATAGGATTTTCGGTTCTCGAGTCGTTTGTGTGATGTCTTTCTATTATTTCGTTATTTTTGTATATTTGTTGGTTTTCTTTGTTTTTCCGGGTATTTTCTTGTTTTTGGAGGTGTGCAGGTTCGGATCTTTGACTAGGTATTCGAAGTTTACCAAGTCGAGCTGTCCCGGTTTTACAAAGCTTATAAAGCGCATGCACTTTCGAGCCTTCCCAGTTGGCACTTCACTCCCTTCACGGTGCGAGCACACACGCGGAGCCTTAACGGGCCTTCAGAAGGTCACTTTTCATTCTCCACGCCGCGACGATGCCAACGCCGTGCCTTCTTCTTCTCCCCGGCAACGGCGTCATTTTGTTGTAATTATTTTTACCGGAGTTAAATCAGAGGATTCAATCCCCTAATCGTCTCTCAAGAAAGGTCAGCCGGATTATTTGTACGGATATTCAGTCACACGAAAAAGAAAATAAATTCTTAAACACTCTAATTCAATGATTTGGGTTTTCAATTATCAACTAATAATTCTCAAACAATGCAAAAAAACAATTAACAAAACTTAGAACGAGTTTCTTCTACGTACGAAGGCTAGGGAATCGGGGATGATTATACTCTAAACAAATTCGAACACCAAGCGAAAATCGTTCGGCTAAATGATTCAATCAACCTACACATCTAGAGATTATTCCTCAATGATTTTTTATTTTTTTTTTCACTTACTTTCATCCAGCGTATCCACAAGACGAATATGGGAAGAACAAAGGCGGCACCGAAGGCTCCTCCTAAAAACACGAGCAAACGCAAGAGAGTTGCACCTCCATCCGAATCATCGAGCGACTCAGACCACTCGAACCACTCCAACTCACACCCAGCGGAGGACACCAGCACTTTGGCTGAAATTCATGGCGTTCCATTCACGGTTCTTAATGAAGATGAGGCGCTTACGTACAAACGCCTTGTAGCGAAACCATTTCCGTGCTCTTGAGTGTTATACTGGGAGATATTAGAGAAACTGGGCATAGTTGACGACGTCCGAAAATATCTTAGGGCTCTTAATCTGGAAAAGTACGCGGACGCGAATTTGACCCCCTTCAAAGGCCTTACCACCGAATTCTTTAGCACTTTAGAGACACACGAAAATATGAAATATCTCACGTGCCGTCTACGAGGAAAAGAGCTCAAGATCACTGACAAGGTCCTTTGCGATATTCTCCACTTGAAGACCACGGGTGCGCGTCAGAAGCCCGAGAAATTTGACGTCCATAAGAAGTGGGCTGCTTTATCTCCTTGCAAATCCTTTAACAAACGCGGCTCGTCGGCAGGTTTGATTAAAGATGTGCCCATTGCAATCGTGCACAAATTCCAGACGTGCAACATTTTCGGAAACACGGAGTGAAACAAAGTCAGCGAGCAAGAGGTATTTATCTTAAGTGCGATGTGCGAAGGCAAACCCGTGTGCCTTCTACCCTTCCTCAAACAAGCCCTCTGGGACACGAAGAACAAGGCGAAAAGTCATCCTACATTGGGGCATGTTGTGAGGGAGATTGCCGACTACTTCAAAGTTCCTCATGATGGCTAACCAAGCACCGTCGCAGTGCGAATTGGTTGGAACGACCTCCAGTTGGCCGACCTCGTAACTGGTGACCGCAAGCTCAAACACTATTCGGAACGGAAGTGCTATAAAGCTTACCAGGATGGGTTGAAGAAAGCTGCAGCTGCGGGCTCATCAGAACAGACAGTTGGAGGGTCATCTCAACAGGCAACAGAAGAGCCTACCGAGCATGCCTCAGGAGATGAGGAACAGCCCGACCAGACCGAGTATCATGCACCTACACCCCCTCACGGCAGCCTAGTCACTCTACCCCAACAGGCGCCTACGTGGTTCATTGAGTATCAGAAGCGTCAGGACGAGTACATGCGGGCCATCCACGCTGAGGTTAGCTCGTACAATGCGCGAGTTGAGGCCTACATCACTGAGAACGACAAACGATGGACCAATGGAAGGATCAACATGATAAGCATGAGGCCCGTTGGGACAGTTGGGAAGCAAAGCAATACGCCAAATGAGAGCAATGGGACAATCAGTTTCAACAGTGGAAAACCCGATGGAGCTCGGGTTCCAGTCAGCCTTCCCTTCCTCCACCGCCTCACCCGGACACACAGTGACTTGTCACTGTGCCTTGTATGTTTTTCTTTCTCTTCCTCTTTTATTTTGTACAGTTTCTTTGCTTGTCAGTTAATTATATGGTTTAACTTTCCTTCATCGCGAATCGAGAATGGGGACATTGTCTGATTTTAAGTGTGGGGGAGTTTTACGTGCTTACGTGACTATATGGTTGGCCAGGTCTAGTTTTTATTTTTAGGATTGCGTTTATTTCTTTATTTCTTTTCTCTAGTTTGGTGGTCCAGTATAGTTTTTAGGATTATTTGTGGTGTCTTTGTGAGCTTGGACTTTGGTGTCTTGTAAGACTAGTTGATGATTGATTGATTGGGCTAGGAAGTTGTGATGATGAGAATGAGTGGCACATTTTGATGAATTGGCTTGGTTGTTTTGTTGACATTTATTTTACCTTGTGAGGTTTTGAGCCGCATTCATTTTTCTTCTTGTGAGTTATTGGTCAGAATCGTTGTCAATTAGAATTTGCCTTGAGTCTGCATTGAAATGAAATAATTGGATTTGTGAACGTGAATATGATTGAGGCATTCTTTGTATTTCCTTTCCCTTTTCTTTTTCTGAGAATAATTTCGCTAGTCACCCCTTTTGAGCCTTACTGATTTTCTTTCTCTTACCTCGTGACATTGATATTGTGGAGTTACGTGTGTGGATTGAGAGGTGATTCGTGTTGGTATATAAAAAAAGAGAGAGAAACTGAATGGATTACGTTAAATATCCAAAGGTTCTCACACAAAAAAAAAAAAAAAATAAAAAAAAATTGAAATCGTGAATAATGTGGGAAGTGTGTTGGTTTTGGAGTAGTGGGAGGAACCGGTTGGTGTCAGCAACTGGAAGAATTCATGATTATGGTTATTTGATGGAGTTGATTTGATTTTTATTTTGGCCAGTTAGCCTATATTTATCCTACCTGATCCAAAGAGCTTACATTACATCCCTTAAAGTCCTCTTGATTCACTGTTTCACAAATTTGATTCTTTTAGAGAAAGAGTTAGACGATAGGCAAATTTATGATTGATTCGACTGACGACCAATTTGAGTGTACCCATCTGATATTTGAGAAAGAAACTGAGTGAGGCACATATGATATACTTTTGTACTCGAGAGTCTATGTCTTCAAAATGGCCAAGTTAATAGTTGAGGTGCGCGCTTGTGATCATTTGAATTCTTCTTGACTTGATTGATTGGTTTGAGATTAGTCTTGCTTGAACCGTTGTCCTTGCTCGTTTGTTTGTTTTTCTTTTCTTTTCCTTTCTTTTTGTTCGGGACGAACAAAGGTTTTAGTGTGGGGGAGTTTGTTTGTCCCATTTTTGTTATCTTTTTGCTTGTTGGTTTATAGGTTTTTAGCCCCCGATTTAGGTTTTTCGATAGGATTTTCGATTCTCGAGTCGTTTGTGTGATGTCTTTCTATTATTTCGTTATTTTCGTATATTTGTTGGTTTTCTTTGTTTTTCCGGGTATTTTCTTGTTTTTGGAGGTGTGCAGGTTCGGATCTTTGACTAGGTATTCGAAGTTTACCAAGTCGAGCTGTCCCGGTTTTACAAAGCTTATAAAGCGCATGCACTTTCGAGCCTTCCCAGTTGGCACTTCACTCCCTTCACGGCGCGAGCACGCACACGGAGCCTTAACGGGCCTTCAGAAGGTCACTTTTCATTCTCCATGCCGCGACGATGCCAGCGCCGTGCCTTCTTCTTCTCCCCGCGCCGCTACAACCTCCACCGCCGCGCCACGTCCACCTTCCACGCCGTGAGACCCTTAACGGGCGTACAGAGAAGTCGAGCTTCTTCAGATGCCACGCCGCGACAAGCCTAGTGCCGCGGCGATTCAGCCCCTTCACGCCGTGACCACTATGCCGCAAGATCCTTCACGCCGCCACATCAGCGCGTCGCGCCGCGGCAGGCCTCGCGCCGCGGCGCTAAACCTTTTAAAAGTCGCTTAATGTTTTGCGTTTAAAGAGGATCGAGCAAGGGTTTTGGATTCATTCGGCACTTTTCATTTTTCTCTCGTTTTTCATCAGACGAAAACATTGTTCTCTTTTTATCTTTGCTTATTTTGAGATTTTTGGGTGTGACACCCAAGGATTTTGATCGTGAATTTGGATTGTGCTTGAGATTCAACACTTAGACTTTTATTTATCGTAAGATTACTTCTCACTTTGATTATGAGTTTGGAGTATTTACTTTATACTATGTCTTGTGTTCATCTTGGCATGAGTGGCTAAATTCTTAAGCTATGGATAGGGGTGATTACTCGTACTCGTGTGCTTATCTTACCTGTGAAATTTGTTCAATCTTTTTGAGTTGATTTAAACCTAGGGTTGGATGCTTGATCACCATTCTGATCTAATTAATCGACTTGTAGAACCGAAAGGGGAGAAGTCGGTCGATTCAGGCTCGACTAGAGTAGGCTTGTTCGTAATTGTATTGCCTACGTGTTAATTGATTGGTTTAATTTGTCGTCTATATTTTTCCTCTTGTTACGAGAAGTTATTGAGGAATAATCTCTAGATGTGTAGGTTGATTGAATCATTTAGCCGAACGATTTTCTCTTGGTGTTCGAATTTGTTTAGAGTATAATCATCCCCGATTCCCTAGCCTTCGTACGTAGAAGAAACTCGTTCTAAGTTTTGTTAATTGTTTATTTGCATTGTTTGAGAATTATTAGTTGATAATTGAAAACCCAAATCATTGAATTAAAGTGTTTAAGAATTTATTTTCTTTTTCGTGTGACTGAATATCCGTACAAATAATCCGGCTGACCTTCCTTGAGACACGACCCGGGGATTGAATCCTCTGATTTAACTCCGGTAAAAATAATTACAACAACGGAATCCCATACGAATGGCTAACAATCATCATAATCACTATATCCTCAACATCGATACCTTCAGAACACACAGGTCTGTGAGATACCGTTGACAATGCCTCATTCCTTGACGACACGAGTAACAGTTCGTATGCGGTTTAGGAAGTATCGACTAGATATTCGGAAACAATCTCCTATCGCAGAATCGATCTCACAATTAGGGATGCTCGATAATCCCATACTAACGATCTAACCCCAATACCCTCTCACTCTTCGTAGGTCTCGATCCCTACGAAGTATACATAGTCTCCAATCGAGACTCGAGACACTGCCCAAAAACGATGCGGGACATATATCTCGCCATCTCGAGAGAATCTCGCATGAGGCAAAGGAAAACTAATCGACAAGCCTCATTTATCGAGAGTTATTGATTAGGGATTTCATACAACGCTTCGGTGGAACTTGGAGTCCTCAGTTTTATGTTCGAGAGGGAAGGTTCAAAAGGTCAACATACATGACAAAGAATACTAGTTTACCGACCCAAAAGAACATAATCGGTTCAAAGTTTAATGCACTGTCACTCGAGAGATGACACACACACTGGCGCTGAATAAGTGGGGCGCTGGGACGCGTGCGTGCACCTGTTCGGAGACCAGCTGCAAGGTCAAGGTTTGGCCATAAACACTGGCCTGGGGAGTTCCTGCGTTCGGTGATGGCAGCGGCAGCTCTCGTGCGAGTCAACGGTCGGCCACTGCAGTTGGCCTCACGTTTCTCAGCACGGGCGTGCGAGCTCGGCCACCACTTCGCGTGGCTACACCCAGTCAGATTCGGTGTTCAGTTTGGGGTACAATCAAGAAATTTTCAAATCCAGGGTTCGTAATGACCAAGGTAACCCGAAGAAAAAGGTTTTCACAAAATTTCCAAAACAATGAAATGTTAGGTTTCAACAAAAACATTTCCCCCAACATTTAGGTGTCCAACAATTTGAAAAGTCTCAAGGGTTTCAAATCATACAAAGCAATAAACCGAGTTCCAAGTTCACCACCCTTTTTCTAAATGATATAAAATCACACGAATTTTAACGATAGAAATAAGGGAAAAACATTCTCGAAGAGGTCGAACATCAGCTCTCCAGCCAGGAATATTACTAACTAGAGCTCATTACCAAATAACGGAATGGTATCTCGCTTGACTTTTCCGACTAACAGCGTCGGCCGCCACGTCAGCTCTAACTGATGTAGCTAAACGTGCCAGCAGTCCTAGACGAGTTCACTCTCACATACACTGCCTATAACTTCCACACTTCGAGATCTTAGCATAGAGCTTCTCTCGCAAGTGTTTCCGTTCAACAATACCACACCAACCAAACTAGGTCCATAAGCGTGCATTTAAACAGTAAATTTTATTTTCGAATGCACAACATGAATTTTTTAAAACATAACCCGCGCAGCGATTTTAAAATAAACACAACTTGCAGCACATATATCATATAATCATGATTCTAGTTGCATTTGAACCCTAAGGCATGCGTCTGCAATTCTTATGAAGACATCAAGAACAAATAAGGTCACTTACCAGGAGATTATTCAGCAAACATTCACAACAAAGTTGCAGTTAAAAATCTGGAAACATACGGCTGATAGGACCTCAGTATTTGCAAGATAAATGGAGCCACAGACATGCTTTTAAGGAGATTCAAAAACCAAAATTCATATAAATAAAATATATAAAACTTTGATGAAGACCCTATTGACAAATAATGATTTTATCATTGACTGTAAACATAAAACATTCGGTTCATAAAAACTGTCAGAAACCAACTCATGATACAAACAACGCCTCAGTAATTATCCTATAATTCATGTTACAGACCTTCAAATGACAAGATTCAAAAACCAATAGACAGCCAAGAAGCAAGTAAAAAATTTTCATGAAGACCTCAGAAGCAAATAATGGCATTTAGCATGTCATAAATCGACTAACATGATGATAGATGCAGTCCGGGAAACAAGAACATACTTGTGCACAACTTCAGTAAAATGGACACAACTCATATACACATAACATATTGACATGATTCTTGCATCCTTAGAAAACTAAGAGACATCCCTACTACTTTAATTTAGATCACCGAAGCAGATAAGGTCATTAAGAAGGGGCAAAATCGATTAACATCAGGAATCAATTTTCTGCCAAAAGTATAAACCCATCTCATGCATTTCCTAAATCGATTTAACACAACTCGAGCTTCAGACATCATATCAGCATGCGTTTTCCCTCACCAGAAAGCTAAGAATTAAACCTATAACTTTCATGAAGATCACTTTCACATTTGAGCACATTAAGACATGGTAAACAAGTCAGACATCTAGCACAACATGCTGCCGGGTTTTTACAGAAAAACTGTAAGCGCGATGTTTTGTAAAATTTATAGCTCATTTGTTTCAAACCGGAATAACATAATTCCAAAGCCCAGGAAAAGCCAACAAAAAAATACTACGATTCATATGAAGATTTCAACTTCAAATTACGGGTTCTTGAGGGTCATAATAGCAGCATAACAAAACAGCAAAAATCACAATAATTCATGAACTTCATTTCTATAATCCCAAATCCAAAGCAATTCAACGAAACCATCTAAGCATCACTTAACTACCATTAAACGCGCATAACAAGAGGCAGTAACATCGCATGATATCCCCAAAAACAACATTCTAAAACTCCCAATCACAACATAACACATAATAACAAGGGAAGGGATTAACGTCTAACATGTTTAAACACGATTTCAAAACAAAACATCATAGACCAAACGTGACTCACATGAATTCATGTACACCCTAAAATATGATTTCTAGCATATCATAACATAAGGTTCGACAGGAATTTCCAGCTTTTAACTAATCACATAAACATGCTTGATCATTAATAAACCACATAATCCTCATCTCATACTTAACTAGTCATGCTTCAAATTAACATGAACTTCAACAACTCATCGTATCACACATGCATAAAAACTCAGCCAAAAGTGCGATAACTGCATATATATCAACTCATCTCATAATTTTCAAAACCCGGCAAGGGTCCGAAGAAGGCGAATATATTCCCGGTCCTCATTGACTGAGTCCTACCAACAATGGTTACAGACTTCCGAATAACCCAACCACCTGGGACATCTTCGGTTGTCTCATTTAAGCCTTCTCTTTCAAGATGGCTGGCGAATGGTCCTTATGCGAGGACACTGAACTAAATCTTATAGCGAGAAAAAATGCTATGGGCAGAGCTAATCTTATTAACGACATACTCACAACAAGGAACCTCTAGAGTCAGAATATAAATCTACATCACTAGAGTTGAAGGTTTAACATAGGATTTTCAAATCACTAAAGACCATCATTGATCATAGGTGGATAGACGTTTCTAAGCCCCAAATAACAACATGACATATATATATCAGTTCACATCACAAGTAGTTTCATTGCTACTTATGTAAAACATACAATTCACATTATAAGTATTTTCATTAATACTTATATAAAACATACCCTTGAGTGGCACGGCATGACGAGGACGAGTGGTCGAACACAAGGTCTAAAACACATTATCACATAAATATGTGATTCGCATATAGAGCAGTCTACAGAAATGTAGACCTCGCTCTGATACCAAACTGTAACACCCCACTTTGATTTTAAAAAAATTCCAGACTTTCCAAAAATCAATAAAACATTTTCGAAGTCATTTTCGAAATCATGGGCAATATTCACAACAATTACATAGTCCAAGTCTTATCTGGACTCACGGGGATTCATAAACCCGGTTTTCACAAGGTTTTCATTAACCCATTTCACAACATCTCACAAGATATTCAACTTAATCATAACAGCATGAATAATCAAAATAAACATGATATTCAATACAACACGCATCATGAATATCCAA